ACTTTCATTGTGAAGGGATGTCCCGTAAAGAACAGCAGTATATATACATGACAATTCAAAAAATTATTTATTTATTTATTTGTTTGTTTGTTTGTTAAATTTATACCCCGCCCTCCCCCGAAGGGCTCAGGGCGGCTTACAAGGCAAGAAACTTGCTCATAAAAACATCAGATAGTTTAGTAAATTTAAACATAATATAAAATTTAAAAACCCAATCCAACAATAAAAATGCTCAAACTAAACAGCATCCCTTCAAAAGTATCAGAGAGGACAAACCACACACCAAACAGTCCCCGGTAGGCATTGCATAGTAGATGTTAAGCAGATGTTCCTCCTGCCCTCCTAGGGCCCTCACCCCCCACATTGATGTTAATATATTATGTTAATAATATTATGTTGAAGGTTTTGAACTGCAGCATTGGACCGTACCTATTCTTTTAAAAAGAAGGGTCTAATGCTGTAAACCTGTGCAGACATGCATACACCACAGTCATGAAAAAATCAGTCAGGTAAATTTAAATCTGCATTGGCTGCACTGTACAAAACTGTTCAGATTAACAGAAAGCAACCTGAAGCTAGTTGATCCTAAATGCACACCTTGGCTTAAGTTTTCTTTTAAAAAGGCAACAGCTTGATGAATAAGATGAAAGCTCTTTGCAAGAATCCCAGCAACCATTAGGAACCAGGTGGGCCACTGGACTACCTTCTCTCCATGCAAGATTCCAACCTAAAAGCTACTGTACCAATAACCAAGGTAACATAAAATAACACAATGTTCACTCTCAACCACTGCTAAAGTAAAGCCTTGGCCACCCTCAAGCTCAGTGATGTATACTCAGGGGGGAGGAACACGTGATTTCAGATGTGTTGTTCCCATTATGACTCCTCCACAGCATCTTTGAGGGAGCAATTTATAAAGGCTTTATAGAAAACTGGCTGGCCTGTAAACACACATAAAGTTGATCTGCATTTAATTGATATTTGCCTATTTTAGCTCTCTTCACAGCAAGCATAAACAACCAGCAGTTTAGATGCTACTGCCTCTATGTGACCACTACTCAAATGCTCTTTCCCCATGATAGTTACTCATGGAGAAACCAGCAGTGTTTAATCCTTCCTGCCCAATACATTACAAATATCTGGTACTGGTATGCCCAGCTGCTATCAATTGGGAGATACATGGGAAAGAAACATTTAAAGAGAACACTTCCAATGTGTTTTTGCTTTTGAGTAGGACTTGCATAGTGGCCCAAGGTTGAGAAAAACCTCAAACACAGTTCCCAAATATTACTCAAAATATTCACTAGCATTAATATTAGCAATTATACAGTACATTCTGCTTGTATATATTCCATAAAACCTATAAATAGTTTTTTAAAAGTCACAGAATAGTACAGGCATACTTGAGGAAAGTCATGCCACTCATCCCTATTGCATCACAAAAATATTCAACAGCTGCCTGTGGCATAAGCACGCCTGCATTCCACACAGCAATGACCGCAGCTTATTAACTGCTATCTAGGAAAGTACCACATTTTCTCCAGGTACATATACCCCATTTGCTGCATATCCAAACAGCAGTAATACCACATGTCCAAAATACCCCGATGACACACACACAAAAAAATATTAACTGTCTTCTCCAAAACTAATAATAATAATTCTAAACTGGTCACTGGAGACAGGAAAGTGATGAAGGACACTTCCTGATGTGTAGTTGAGACGCTGATCCAGCCAAACTGATCTACCAGCACTTAAGGCAGAGGTGTCAAACTCATTTGTTATAAGAGCCAGATTGGATATAAATTTCACTTTGTTGGGCCGGGCCACGTGTGCCATAAAATGTAATGCCAGGTACCAGAGATATAAACTTTACAACAGCTCCGAGTTGGTATGTCCTCACCATGAAGCCCCATGAGCTAGACAGAGGGAGAGGGCAGAGGGGGAAAAAACCCTTGGGAAGACTGAAGACCCAGCGGTGCAGTGCTGGGCAGACATCCCTGCACTGCCCATAGGGTGGGGCAAACCCCTTCCCCAGCCTGCTCCCGCAACCAATGCTGTGAGCCAGGGCCCCAAGGAGAAAATGTGAAGCCACTGGGAGTTGAGAATTCCCTCCTGGCCCCGAGCCACTCTGGAATGGGACCAGGAAGACAATTTGAACTAGCCCCCCATCATGCAGAAGCGGGGTGAGTGGGCCAGGTGTAAGGTTGCATGCATGGTGCAACCTAGGCCCAGCAAATCCTGATAAGCTGGAGATATCCACGCGGTGGCCGCTGCCTCCAGTCAAAGCCACTGGGTGACTTCGCCTTGAAACCCCAAGTCAGTGGGAATGCAGCTGTGGTTGTCTCCAATTTACCAGTGAGGCTGCTGCTGGAGCTTGACTACTGTAGACAAGGTTGTTCCACCACGCTGACACCATGATTGGAGTGGCTCCGCCTGCACACCCCCACAAGCACCCTCCTGTTCCCTCCCTCACACCGGTTGCTCATGGGCTGGATATGAGCCCTGGACAGGCCGCATGTTTACCACCCTTGACTTAAGGGGTAAAGGAAGAACTGCATCTCTTGTACAGGAGCACTGTCATACAGGCTTCTATGAGACTCAACATTCAGAGCCCATACCATACAGAGCAGACATGCTATCAGAAAGAAACCACCAGCAGTCGTGTTACCCATTTCAGTGCTAAAATGACTTAAGGACCAGGTCATTAACTTTCAGGAAATGCACACACATCTGGCCACTTCTTTGCAATACTGTACCATGATAAGCTGTCAGTAGGCATGTTTAAACCAAGGCTGAAATTCAATGTACACTTACTTAAAGGTCTGTTATTGAGTTTATCCGAGCTTGCTCCGAACATACAAGGCTATAACATTACAAAGACTCATTTTCATCCTTAACTTTTCATCCATATTTCAATATTGTATACATTTAGATTATACTATGGGGTAGGTTTTTTAAAGCACAAAATGTGTTATCAGAATATTTCATCCGTGGACAGAAAACTACTTTCATAGTTGCAGCAACTATGTGTGCTTGCAAACGAAAGCTTATACCTTAAATTAAACTTTGTTGGTATTAAAGGTGCCTTCTTGGGCTCAAACTTTGTTCCGCTGCTTCAGAACAAACAACACAGCTACCCACCTGAACCTGTAATTACAAAGTTCTCACTGTGGGCAACTCATTAACCTAAAAAAAGAAACATCTGCTTCTAGTTTTCAAATTGGCATCTAAAACAGACCTTGGTCAGGTTTAAAATACACTGCATGGATACATAAATAAGTTATCCAATTAAGTCCTAATTATATAAGTAGAAGATAGGAGAATGTACAGATCCACTGATAGCAGCTACTGTGAGGCCAAATAAACACACATGAAACTAAGAACAGTGCTGACAGTTCAGTTTCACTTTTTCAGTTCCTGTTCTGGTTCAATGGTATTTTTAAAACACGAATAGGAGAAACTTGCTTCAAACTTTCTCGATTTTGTTAAGCTCCTCTTGCTGTTTATTTTCCCCTTGAGGAGCCTATAAAAACAGCACAAACCTGTGTCAAGCAAGACATATCACACTCACAGGGTTTTTTTATTGTTCTTCAAGGATGAGAACAGGAAAAAATTAATTAGCAAAAAGTTGCAGAATTTCTCAGAATGTGACAACACGCAGAAGCATCGAAAGCTGCATCATTTTTCAACAATTACTTTGTAACTACAATTACTAAGGCCTCCTGTACAGGGCCATTTGCTGATCATTGTTACTATACTGTTACACAACTGGTATTGCCGTTTCCTGTTGCAGAAACAACTAAGCATTACATCTGCACCTGAAGAAGTGGGCTGTAGCCCACAAAAGTCTGCACTGGGGGGAAAATGCTGTTACACAACAGTCCGGTTTTGTTGTTGCTGGAACAGACTAGCACAGCTACCCATCTGGAATTACTAAGCACTATGTTATTGTAGCACAATGTCAAACATTTTCTAAAAAGCAACTAACTCATGGTTTTCAGACACCACTGAAAGTAAGAGCCCAGTAGTCTGCATGTTCTGCCTCTGGCATTCACCTCTCCATGGTCCTTATTTCCAACCTGGGCCCTCCTTATCTCTGGGATCACTTCCACCCCATGGGCTCCCAAGGCAGCTCTGACAATCAGCCCAGGGACAGTTAGCAGTTCCTCCACTCAGGTCGCTAAGAACTGTTTCTCCTTGGGCTTCCTCAGCAGTTGTACCCCCGTGCTACAGGACAGGCCTCCCAAGGATGCAAGGAAAGCCCCAACCTTGTAAAGAGATTTCAGAGGCTATGTAAAGCAGACCTTTCCTGACATGCTGTTGATAGCTTGCGGACAGAGGTTACGTCCGCTTCTTTTTCCTTGTATTTCTGCAAACTGAGATTTTATTTGATTTTAACCAATGACAGCCACTTAAAAGTCTAGTCAATGGACAGAAAGGCTGACTATCTTTAAAGGAACTGTCGGGGAGGAAGCATCCACCGATCTCAACAAGGCTTTTTCTTATTAAACCTTCCTAGGACTGGGCTTCAAGGGGGTGTGTCTATAACCAGTAGCAGCCGTGATAGTACTTGTCAGCTAGTCACACCTCCTGGGGAGACATAACAGGCATCCAAATGGAGGGGGGGGGGAGAGAGAGAGATCCTACCCTGGCGTGTTTAGAATGCTTAGCAGCGCTACTATAAAGACGGACGCACACTCCGACCACAACAGATGTTTGGCGATACAAAGAATCATACCCTGTTTCCACGAAAATAAGACCTACCCAAAAAATAAGCCCTAGCAGGATTTCTATGCATTTGTGGTATAAGCCCTAGTGTGTCTTCTTGAGAAAAAATAAATATAAGACAGTGTCTTATTTTCGGGGAAACACGGTATTTCTAATCTTCCCCCACCCTACATATTGTAAGAGCAGTGGCATGCCGCGCTCGTTGTCCAAATTCCAGGGCGCCCCCCCCCCTCCTCCGTCCCATGCTTGCTCCGTTGTTGTTGTTTTACCTCCAAACAGGTGAGGCGAAAGGTGGGCAGGTAAGGAGCCGATGACCAGCCGGGGGCCCCCGCTCCCGCCGCCGTGCCCGCCTCCTCCTCCTCCCGCGGCGGCCCGCTCCCGCCCGCCGTCCTCCGGGGTGCTGTTGACCGAGTCCTGGGAGCCGTAGAGGCCGCTGCTGTTGGGGATGCTGAAGGCGGAGTGCGCGGCTCGAGCCCCGCCGGAGGCGGCCGGCCCGCCCAGAGACCGGCTCCGGGGCGCCGCCGGGCGCCGCGTGGTGCGCTCCCGACGCCAGGTGCGTGTACCGTCCCCCGCCGCCGATCGGCCGCCCGCCAGTCCCGTTACCGCCGCCGCCGCCGCTGCTCGAAGGTAAATCCCCGCCGGAGTAAGCCCGAGTGCGGCCATTGGCGGCGGCCGGGCCGCTCTGCTTGGCGCCCATGCTGCTGCCGCCGCTGCCGCTGCTTCTTCCTCCTCCTCCTCCTCCTCGTCGTCGTCTTTCTCTCTGCCCCCCTTCCCCCCGCTGTGGTTCCGCCGCCTGGGGGCCAGCCAAGCGCCCGCCTGCCCTTCCCGTCCGAGCGCGGAGGGGCGGGAAGAGGAAGACCGGCGGCCGAGAGGGCTGCTGCGCTCAGCTCAGCTCGCCTCGCCGGGGCTGCGGCGGCGCTTCCACCGCGTCGAGTCCTTCCAGGCGATCCTGCCGGCCGCGGGGCAGGCTCGGGCAGCTGCTGCTCCTGCCGCCGCCGCCGTTGCCCCACCAAGGCTCAGCCCCGCCGTTGCCGCCATCCTCTTTGCCGGCCCCCCGTCCTGGCTGACCGGGGGGGGGGGGGGAAAGATGTGAGGCGGGGGGGGGGGCGGCACCTCTGCGCAGTCGCTCTCCTCCCCCCTTTCTGTCTACCTTCGGGCCGCCATCATGGAAGGAGGCCGAGGCTGCCGGAGCCCCCGCCTCTCGTTCCCGCCTCCAGGCCCGCAAGTAAGTCGCACTCCCCGCCTCCGCCGCCGCCGCCTCCCTCCGAGGGACGGCCCAGCTTGAGGCGCGGGTTGGCGGCGGGAGGGGTGGGGCGATGAGCCGGCTTGGTCTCCCGCCACGCACGAGCCCTGCCCCCTGTAGGACGTCTCGCGCTCGCCTCCACTCCCGGGCATCGGACAGAAATTCAACAGGTGTCGCTTGTCATGAGGGGGGGGGGAGGTGTTCCCTCTAAGCTGAGTTGGTGTGAGCTAGCTCACGGTTTTGTAGCCTCCGGCTCACACATTTTTTGTCTACGCTCAGGAAGGATGGCTCCAGAGCGAAGCGAATTGATGCAGCGGCCAAATCGCTCGCTCACAACTTTAATGCCAGTAGCTCACAAAGCAGAATTCTTGCTCACAAGACTCCGCAGCTTAGAGGGAGCATGGAGGGAGGTGGCGACTTTATTAATAGCAGGCTTAGAAGACGGCCTCAAAAGATGCTTTGGCAAGCAAGTGCCCGCAGAAGAATGAGCGGGGAGGCAGCGCAGTGGTCAGCCTCAGGGTTAGACTTGCATCTGGTCCGGTCATTGCGCACCCATAAGGCTCGCCGAGGGTGACCTTGGGCCTCTTGCTCTCTTCCAGGGCCGCTCCTTGGAGGAAGGGTTGCCTAAAAATGTAAAAGTAAATAAACAAGCCCTGCCCCGCCCCCCCTCCAAACCAAAGAGGGACCTTGCTGATTTCCAAGTACTGATTTCTAAAATAAAGAAGTGCTGGGACTGGAGCCCGCTTGGATCACTCACTCTTGCCTTGGAAACTCTTAACTGCAGCTGTGTAAAGAGACAAGCCAGGTATGCTTAACAGAGAAAAGGAAAATGCAGTTTGTACATGTTCAAAACCCCATATGGATGCCTGTAACCAGATTCTAGCTGTAAACCCAGGTGACCCTTGCTTTTAGCTTGCTTTAAGCCAGAGCCAAATTGAGCAAACTTCAGAGGACGGCGGAAGACAGGAGGGCCTGGCGTGATCTTGTCCATGAGATCGCGAAGAGTCGGACTCGACTGTGCGACTGAACAACAGCAAGCCAGAGCCTTCAGATCGATTTATTTATTCACTTTATCTGCTTTCTCCCCAATGGCTTACCCCAAATAGCTTACATCATTCCTCTCTCCTCCATTTTATCCTCGCCACAACCCTGTGAGGTAGGTTAGGCTGAGGCTAAGTGACTGGCTCAAAGTCACCCAGCCAGCTTCCATGGCAGAGTGAGGATTTGAACCCGAGTCTCCCAGATCCTACTCTAACCACTACGCTACACTGGCTCCCTTCAGAAACATCAAACCATAACTGTAGATTTATCAGCTGCAGGCCATTTATATCTGATACCAATGACAGAGCAGATAAGAGTTGTAATAATAGCTGCCTTGGGCCTGCCTCCTGGACTTGTGTTGCTCAACTTGCCTAGCCAGTATGTATAATGCCAACTATCTTGCAAAGAGGACACTTTAGAGCCTTGTGGTGTGTTGGTGGAGCCTCTCACAGGAAAATGCATTAATTCCAGTGTTAAAAAAATAAACCTAAAGAAGCCATAGACAAGCTGTGCTAGCCTGTTCTGCACACATTCTGCTCTGGATTTGTACCACAAATGTGTGTGTGTTTGTGAGTGCAATCAGTTTACATCTAGCAGGCCACTGAAAAGAACTTTAAATGGTATTGGCGATAATGAGTCTGGCTGTGCATAATACCAGTATATGCCCATTACATTTTTTTCTCTGCCCATTTATTCTCATGGCAATACACAAGTTATGCCTATTACATTTGAAGTGTATGCCTAGTAATGTGTGCGGTGGCTCTCAGTGATTGATCAGTGTGGTTCAGTGGCTAAGGAGCTAGAGTTAGATTTGGGAGATCTGTATAAAAGCTTACCTCTCCTGTGGTTGGTCTTTCTTAGCCTCAATACCTCACTGAAGTCAGTGCATAGGGTGGCACTGTAAATACTGTAAAGCAATCTGCAAACTTTATCAGCAGGCATGATAAGTAGTAGAACTTGTGACAGCTATAAACCACACTTTCATGTGGCCATAATCAGGTATTAAAGCAGAATTTAAAATAGGTGTGCGTATATAAACAATAAAAACAATTCTGCAAAACACGAACACATAAATGGGAAGGAGGGTCAATGAAGATCACTCTGTGGCAGAAGATAATCATTGAAGGGGACAAACGAAGGGAGGGAATTCCACAGTTAGGGTCCTGCAAACAGAATGCCTGTTCTTGGTTTGCCACCTGTCTAGCCTCCAAAGATGACCATAGCAGTTGGGTATCGTATTTACCCGTGTTTCTAAGGGGATTGTGTTCTCTAAGGAATGGACATTTGGGGCATTTCAGCCTCTCAAACTTTTAAAAATAATTTTATTGACAGTTTTGTATCATATAGCAAATATGTGAGCGAAACTTCTTTAAAAACATTATAAATAAAACATGCACAAAGTCATAAGAACATAACAGAAGCCAGTGTTGGATCAGGCCAATGGCCCATCCAGTCCAACACTCTGGCACACAGTGGCCAAAAATACCAGGTGCCATCAGGAGGTCCATCAGTGGGGACAGGACACTAGAAGCCCTCTCACTGTTGCCCACCCCCTTAAGCACCAGGAATACAGAGCATCACTTGCCCCAGAGTTCCTATCTATACCTTTTGGCTAATAGCCACTGATGGATCTCTGTTCCATTATGTTTATCTAATTCCCTCTTGAAGCTGTCCATGCTTGTAGCTGCCACCACCTCCTCTTCTACCATAACAATGTTCACTGTGAGCCGCCACCACCTCCTGTGGCAGTGAATTCCATGTGTTAATCACTCTTTGGATGAAGGAGTACTTCCTTTTATCTGTTCTAACCCGATTGCTCAGCAATTTCATGGAGTGCCCACGAGTTCTTGTATTGTGAGAAAGGGAGAAAAGTACCTCTTTCTCTACCTGCTCTATCCCATGCATAATCTTGTAAACCTCAATCATGTCACCCCTCAGCCGTCGTTTCTCCAAGCTAAAGAGCCCCAAGCGCTTTAACCTTTCTTCATAGGGAAAGTGTTCCAACCCTTTTATCATTCTAGTTGCCCTTTTCTGCACTTTTTCCAATGCTATAATATCCTTTTTGAGGAGTGGTGACCAGAACTGTATGAAGGAGGTAATTGTGTTCTACAAACAGGCAGAGGTCATTTCGGGGGGGATCGCGGGGGATCGCAGTTCCCCGGGTGAGGTACGGGGGCGGGGCACATGACAAACCCCCGCCCCCTGCTTCCGGCCGCCCCGCTTCCGGCCCTCATCCAGCCAGGAGGAGGCAGGAGAAGAGGGAGGGTAAGTTGCTTCCTCCCTGCCTCTCCCCACCCCTGCCTGCCTGGGGCCAGGGAGGGCCTTCGCGGGGCTTCCTTGCACTCCTGCCAGCCTTGCAGGTCCACCGCCGGGCCCCTAATGGGGCTCAGCAGTGGAGCTGCAAGGCCGGCAGCGGCGGCCGGGACCGTTGGGGGCGGGGTGTGTGGCCTTATGACACACTTCCGGTGATGTCAGGGGGTGTGGCCTTATGACACACTTCCGGTGATGTCAGGGGGTGTGGCATATGCTAATGAGTTATGCTAATGAGTTCCCCTAGCTCTTTTTCTACGAAATGACCTCTGCAAGCAGGAGAACCTACGGACTGGAGTAGCGCAGATTAGCCCTGCAGAGGATTGCACTGTTAGGGAGCTCTTAAAATAGTTTCAGTCGTGTTGAAATCACGACTGATGATCAAATATCATGGAATGAAATATCATGGAATGTATAATGTCATGAAAAATGTACTTGATCATTAATGTACTTGATCATTAATTAAATTCCATTTGCAATTAGAGCAGAAATCAAAAAGTGCAATGTTCAGAAGCCATTTAAAAATGTGCTTAAAACTAAATGGAAAAATAAAGCAGGAAAATAAGCATATGACCCACTGTCCTGTCAATCTACTCAAGATGCTGCTTCACTTTGATTTCAGAATTCAAATGAAGAGTGTTAATTCCAATATTTTTCAAGATATGTCTCTTCTCTGCATACTCTGCTGCTGACAAGCTCTTTTGTAACCATATCATTAAGAGCTGTGGATTGCTGCTCACGCGGCTTTTTGACTACAGTGACCTGTGCGATTTTGCATGTGTTGAGGCAATTTGATATAGGATACGTTGATACACTTACTAGGTAATACCAGACTTAGAAATATAATAATAGGTCAAAACTTAAAGAAGAGCTCTTCATATGTTCATCATTAACTGTTGAGCCTTGAGAAATTAGTACCTTTCAGAATTTTCCTATAACATCTAAGCTAACAACAGCTGTTACCATTCCACTTGCTAACATGGCCAGAGTGTTTCCTGCTAAAAATTAAAGTTCCTTGGAGCAGAAAGACAGCATATACGTTTTTGTAAACATATGAAGAAGCAAATAAATAGTAGCCAGTGCATTGAATATGAATTGAATATTGAGCATGTAGTTGGCAGTATCCAAAGGCATAAGAGTACACACAGAAAGAACACATGAAGCTGCCTTGTACTGAATCAGACCCTTGGTTCATCAAAGACAGTATTGTCTACTCAGACAGGCAGCAGTTCTGCAGGGGTCTCAGGCAGAGGTCTTTCACATCACCTACTCCTGTCTCATCCTTTTAACTGGAGATGCTGGAGACTGAACCTGGGACCTTTTGCGTGCCAAGCAGATGCTCTACCACTGAGCCACGGCCCTTCCCCTCTGTAGTTTTTGTGTGAATATATAACTGGTTGTTGGCATATACTGATTTCATATGTCAGATTGGAACATACTGATATAGATAGTTCAGGACTTTGAAACTGGAGTTCA